GTTCAGCGTACTACAACCCGTCTCGCCAGTTGTTGCCCCACCTAGCCGAAATTTGCAAGTCACTGATAATGCTTTTTTGAGCCCCGGTAAAAGGGCTGAACATCTAGCAAGGATCTGAGCGTGGAGTTGCTGTCTGAACGCGACCCAACACGCGCACGCACTCCTTTCCGTTGCAAGAAGTCGCCTTCTCTCTGACTCCGCAGTCCTCGTTTGAGTTCCCTGCGGGGGAGATAAAACTGGTGTACTTTTGAAATGTCATTGCGCACACTCTTGGCACGCTTGCGCTCGTGTGCACGCACGAGCACACCACAAACTTGTTTTGACCTGCAGTTTCGCGCTCGAGTAAGGCTCATCGGTTTGACCCGACTGAACAGAACTGTGTGCACAGATTTATTCCGGTTTGCCCCGTGCTGCTGGGACCCCTGTAAGTCTGTACACACATGTAGAGCGAAAATCCACGCGTTGGGCTGGGCTGGGCTGGGCTAGATTTGCATTTTGTTATTAGTCAGTCAACGTTAGCCTGCCTCCCTGACGCCCAGCAGTTCTGGTATTTCAATCCGAGTCCAGCGCATTGAAGCGGCCCAAAGACTGCGTATCTCCAAGTAAGCCACATTGAGGTCCTGCCGATCCGCAGATAGTTGGGTAATGACGGCGAATCAGATGAATAGCAGCCTAGCCGGTGTTTTTGTTTTCTACAGATGTGATTGCTTTATTTGATGCAATTGCGAGTGAGCTCACGGGTTCTGGTGAGGCCTCTTAGCTCAGATGGTAAGAGCGTTGGCTGCACTCAAGCCCTGTCCTTGCTGTCAGGACCACTGAGGCCGTGGAGTTTTTCTCAAGCTGGTCAGATGAAATCTGACATGCTTATTGGGTAGCTTTTACTGCGTCTCAAAAACATTCCATGGAGTTATTTCCGACAGTTGATATTACTCACTCCTCGTATTCAGAGCCAGGCTGTAATGTCTCCTTGCCATGGTCCTATGGGACAGCCTCTGCCCGAGTGGATAATATCCGAGTGGTATTACAGGCACGAATACGTCGTTTGATAAGCAGGAGCGAATGCCGTGTTAGCCACTGTGTCAACTAACCGTCTTGAGCCCCCTCGGCCTGACTTTGCCTTTGGAACGCTGAAGTTGTGAGGTAAATGCCCTGAAAGCCTTCCTTTGCATAGTCTGACACCATCGCCAGTCTCCACTGCTGTCACTGGGCTATTAACCCCGCCCCTCCCCCCACTATTCTTCTAATAAAACCTCCTTTGTATATTTTAGACCGCCGAAGATGTGGGGTCTCGCTTCTGGATCGGTCTCTACGCCTCCTTCGGTTCCCTGCGCTGGATCTCCGGCTATCCCGCAGTCCCGGTTGCTTTTTGGCAAACTGGGTCCGAGGGCCAAGGCAAAGCTTGCATCTACATCAGCCAAGGTTGTTACCCCGCGTATACTCATTCTCCTCTGTTACAACAAACTACCTAACTATACTTGTGCAGCATAAATCAAA